GGATGGATAGATGGATGGTTTGGTGGATGGATAGATGGATGGTTGGATGGATGCGTGGATGGATGGATGACGCAGTGGTCACTCAAAGCACCTGAGAAACTGCTCTGCAACCTTTGGGGTTGAGGTGGTTTCCAAACCTCACCATTTTCATGGAGAGATGGGAAATGCCCCAGACTCTGTGGGAATGAATTCCAGTTAAAAGCAGATTTAAGGAAGAAAAACCTCAGCCCCCTCATCTTTCACTGACTCAGAAGACACTGGTTTTGTTGGAAGGTTGCAGAGGAAGAGCAAAGCCCAAATCCATAAGGATCAGACCAGAAGAACCGAACATGGACATCTCTGTGTCCTGATCTTGGGCCAATAATTCCCGGTTCATCATTATCCAACAGTACCTTTCATCCTTTGATATCACACCTCTGGAAGATGGATGGTCACAGACACATCCCTCACTTGTCCCTAAACCAGCTGCTTCCCACTGGATCATCCCAGAAAATCCACTTCTGCCCTGACCTCAGCTCTAAAGCAAAGGGTGGTGGTGCCTGTCTGTGCCAGCACTGCCAGACCTATGAGTGGAAACCCGCTCTGGCAGATCCTCAGAAATTCCATTAGATCCAAAACAGGGCTCCAGATGGAGACATATCACCCCTGTCCAGGCTGCCTTTCCTTTGGGATCCTTCAGGGTCCCATGGAAGCAGCCTGAGGGTCTCTGGGGCTGGAAGTTAAACCCCACTGGGGTGGTGTCACCCCCAGGATGGAGCTGCAGTAGGTGACAAACAGATGGAGGAAGACACAGCGATGACCAAACCCCACTTGCCCAAAATCTAAACCCACCAGAGACCAAACCCCAACAGCCCCAGGGGAATTCCCACCCCCACCCATGTCCTCATCTCTAGAAATGAGGGAAAATCCTGGAGCGGGCAGTTTAATAAACCTTTCCAAAGCCTTTGGAGTTTTTTCTCCTCCCTTCACTCATATCTAGATTGAAGCTCATCCCTTGGTTTTCAGCTCTTCCAGCAGCCAGCTGGGAGGTTTTAGGGATGGCAGGAGCTCCGGATGAACACATCCCACCCCATTCCTGAAGGGACAGGATGGCAGCTTAGGTTTAAGCTCTTGCCCAAGCTGCTCCTCCTGCCCTGTGCCACATTGCTGCCATTTAGACCCGAGTCTTACAAAGCAACCTTGACCCCCTCCATCCCTGGATATGGGATACACATCCCTGTGTATCCAAATGATGTGCATCATTCCCTGTCAAGAATCACAGCTCTTCCCACCAGGAATGCAAACCCCTTTTTCCCATTCACCCTCTCCAGTGACCTTCTTAAACACATAAAGGTGTTATTTCCCCTCCCCGGGGGTTCCCAGGTCTCTCTGCACTGATTCCTTTCCCCTCCCCTCCCAGGAATTTCCAGGGGGGGTCCCTGCAGAGTTGGGAATGAGGAGATCTTACCCAATTCCAGGCATGCCAAGCCAAGCAGGAAACCAACCAGGAGTGTCTTCATGCTGAGGGCAGATCCGCGGAGCCCCGACAAGTCAGGGAGAGCTGCTCCCAGGGAGCTTTATATGTTTTCCCACCCTCCACCACCTGCTGTTGATCCTTGTGGGCGGATTCCTTCGGGGTGATCAGGGGCGAGCTCAGCTCCAGCCTGGATTGGGATTTGCCGAGGAACGAGTTCCCCGGGGAGGTGACATCACCTCACTCCTGCCATGCCTTGTCTCTTCCTCGGGTTTGTGTCCTGGGGCTGGTCCCATGGAAAAGCAAAAACACTGCAAGGTGTGCCAGGGCTTGGATGGGGAATGTGACAAGGAATGTTTGTTCCTTGCAGAGCCCGGAGCTGGGCCGTGTCACGTGTGGGCAGCTCCAGCCAAGGTGCAAGCGACAACAGGCCGGCCTTCCACATGCCTTGGGAGAATGTTTCCATGGGCTGGCATTGCCTAAAGATGGCTGTTTTCCCAAATCCAGGGCAAAAGCAAGCCTGGCTTTTGGATGCCAGTTCTTAACTAAGCCCTGGTGCTGAGCTGCTGGGCATGGGAGTCACCGAGAGGCCAGTGGGAGATGGTGCTTCCAAGTCTGGGGTTTGGATATTCCGTGTTGTTTTTCCAAGGGCCTGGGTCATGCTGGCAAAGCAGGAAGTTCAGCCTTCTTTTGGAAAGCTGTCAACTCTTTCCCAGGTTTCCTTCTGAAGCTGGGCAATAGACCCAACATGGAGAAATGAAGCAGTTTTCCCATTTCAGTACCTTCCTGAGAGCGAATTTCACTTCACAAATATATCAAAGTAACCCTTTCAAACACCTTAATTTATTCTGTATCTTATCCAATACTGGGGGAAACAGCTTAAAACGCTTGGAGCCGGGGAGAAATTATTTGCTTCTCCCTTTTGCCTGAGCCAGCAGCATTTCATATTTCCCAGGAGAAGCTGAAAGACTTTTGGTCGTGTTTGTTTGTTGTGATCCACACTGGAAAACCCCGGCGTCATTGTGCAACTCCCCATAAAACAACTGAATAAGCCAGAGGAGAAAAGTTTGTGAATCACTGGGAAGTCACTTGGAGACTTCAGGGATGGAGCTGAGGTGGATGAACAAGGAGGTTTTAATGACTTGGTGCTTTGCTTGTCACAGACTTGTTACGGCAACACACGTGGGCATTGCTACCATTCCTGGCAGCCCAGCCTTTATTCCCAGTTTGAGGATGCCATTCCCGGCAACCCAGCCTTTATTCCCAGTTTAAGGATGGCTCCCAGTAACCTGAGAAGCTTTGCTAAGGAAAATTTCCACTGTCATGGATGACACAAAGCTGGGGAAGTGGGATCAGTGCTGTGCCTTGGTGAAAGGGAGGGAAAACCTGCACCCGACTATGAGAGTGAAAAACATCCTTTATCTTTATTTTATCTTCCTGTGCTGTCAGAGACCAGGGACATAAAATAAACCGGGTCAAAACATGAAGAAAACCGGCTCAAATGTAAAGAAAACTGGCTCAAATGTAAAGAAAACCAGCTCAAACCGTCAAGAGAACCAGCTCAAACCATAAAGAAAACCAGTGCAAAACATGAAGAAAACCAGCTCAAAATATGAAGAAAACCAAAGATAAAGAAAAGCAGCCCAAACATAAAGAAAAACAGCTCAGGACCTAGAGAAAAGCAGCTCAGAACATGAAGAAAAGCAAACATAGAGAAAAACAGCTCAAACATAAAGATAAGCAGCTCAAACATGAAGAAAAGCAGCTCAGACATAGAGAAAAGCAGCTCAAAACATAAAGAAAAGCAACTCAAAACATGAAGAAAAGCAAACATGAAGAAAAGCAAACATGAAGAAAAGCAACCGTGAAGAAAAGCAAACGTAAAGAAAAGCAAACATGAAGAAAAGCAGCTCAAACAGAACTCTCTGGATGTACAGGAAAAACTCTGCTCCCTGAGAGCCAGCAGACCTGGTTCCATCCAGATCCTTGTTGTAACTGGGCAGCTCGAGGCAAATTTGAGCAATATCCCAATTAACAAGGTTGAAACTGGAAAAGATCCAGTGCTTTGAGCATTCCAGGTGGTTCTGCCTTCCTAGGAAAGCACAGTGGAGTTGGCAAACTAAAAGGTGGATGGTGTGTGGCTTGTTGAGTGAAGATGTCCATGCAGGGATGTTCCAGTGGTCCTCTCAGGCCTGAAAGTCATTTCATAGTGAGAAATCCTTGGAAGAAATCAGTGTGGTTGAAGGAATAGTGATAAAAAAACTTAACCACTGTCTAAAGGCTTGAAAAGGTTGGAGATCTTTCCATAAGATGCATTAAGAACCTCGATATTAATGGGAAAAATTGGATTCTCTCCACCAGGAAAACAGCAGAGCTGCTGCAGGGTGGCTGAGTGTGCAGCAGAGCCAGAATTCAGGGAGAGAGAAGTTGGGAATGTGCCAGGAAAGTTGTGGAGGGAAGGAAAGGCCTCTAAGGTCTGTTGCCTTTGAGGTATTTGTTGATGTAAAGATAAAGAGTTGAGGTGGAGCCCCGAAAACAAATCCAAAACCCAACACAACAACCCCAGGTGATGCCAAATCATGTGTTGGGGTGGGAGGGAGGCTCTTGGCGGGGGGATTTGGGAAGGGATAACATCTCACTGGCTTCTCAGCTGGAATTTCACTGCCCCCATAGAGAAAAAACAGGGGTTCCTGATGGAAAAAAAAAAACAACGCAACAGATGGAAACTAATGGGAAGACTGGGAGAACAGGATCCACCCCAAAAGATGACACTGGAAAAGACTGTTTTGCCTTGCCAGAATTAAGACAAGCCAAAGTTAAATGAGACTGGGAATCAGAGGTTGGGTCTTGATGGGAAAAATTGGATTCTTTCTCTAAGAAAAGGAAGGGTAGAAACTCCACCTGCTTTAAGCTGAGCCTGATAAATACGTGGGAGATGTGGTTTGACATAGTTAGGTCAGGCTTAGACAACTTGTAGGGCTCAGGAGGCTCTAAATTCCCATCTGTCTCTGTCAGGAGCAAGGTTTTGAGCCCTGACTGACAGGAGCCATAAGGGACTTTGGTTGAAATGTCACTTCAGGTCTGAAGGTGTGAGAATATAAACGAGGTGTGGTGCGTAGGGAGAAAGGTTTGTGTGCCAAAAACCTCTTGGAATTCTCAGTGATATCAATCCAAACCCACTCCCAGCCTGTCCCTGGGAGACTGTCTTTATTTATAAGGTGATACAGGCAGATAGAATCTCTCTCTGCTTATCACATGCACCAGGAAAGGCAAGTGACAGAAATTCAGTGTTTACAGGTTTATAACTCCCTGATTTGACTTCCCTCACAGTTAATTCTTGTTTGAATGAAAAAGAAAGCAGATTTTGTGGCAGGGAGTGAACACCAAGCTCTGATGAGCTGGTGCAGAGGTTGGATATGAACCAGGTGTAAAATTACTCCTGTGTAAAATATTTGTACTCCGATTTGTAGAGTTCCTACAACCAGTAGCTCCCATTACTAAACTCCTCTACTAAACCTAATTTCTCACTGTTGCAATTTTCCTGTCCCCCATGGAGATGTATTTTGTTTAGGATATTTCTTTGATAGAACTTTGGTGGGTTCTTTGACTCCTTCTCCAGGATGTCTGTTCTCCAGGGTTTAATTCTCCAAGTGATCCTTCTCTGAACCACCTCTGGTTTATCACCTTGTCCACTACATTGCCCAGCCCAGAACTGGACATTGCCTTGAACCACTCCATGGAATCATGGAATGGTTTGGGTTGGAAGGGACTTGAAAGATCATCCAGTTCTACCCCCTGCCATGGGCAGGGACACTTTCCCCTATCCCAGGTTGCTCCAAGCCCCATCCAAAGGTGGCCTTGGACACTTCCAGGGATGGGGCAGCCACAGCTTCTCTGGGTAACCTGTGCCAGGGCCTCCCCACCGTCCCATCTAACCCTGCTCTCTGGCAGTTTAAAACCATTCTCCTTTGTCCTATCATTCCAGGCCCTTATCCAAAGTCTCTTTCCCCACTTCAGGTACTGAAAGGCTGCAATAAGGTCACGCCAGACCCTTCTCTTTTCCAGTCCCAAGCATGAGCAGAGCAGATCCTTCTGTCACAAGACAAGCACCAAACATCCCTATTTGACACTGTGGTCATGTCATGGTAACCTTGGCATCAGTCCACGTGGTGGCTGTGCCTTCCCTGGGAGCTGGTTTGCAGGATGGAGGCTGCTTGGTTTTCCAGGTGTCAGATTTCCAGACATTGTGGTGACAGTTGGAATATAGAAAAATAAATACAACTGATCAGTGTATTGGCTCAGCTGGAGTTCAGCTCCTGTGCCTCAGGGAGGGTGGATTTTTCCGGGGGGGATTTCTGGGTGATTGTGTCTGGGAGTTCCAGCATCTCCATCTGTGACTCAGCAGCGGGAAACCTCTCTGCCTGTCTCCATGGATGCAGGGATGTTTGAGGAGGTGGTGAGCCAATGGAAGTTCCACCTCTCACAGGTGTGTGTGTGTGTCAACAACAAGACTTTGGGCTTGTTGGGGTGGGGTTGGTCTCCACCCTCCTGATGAAACTCTGCAGGAAGGAATTCAGGTTTCGAGCAGGGTGAAAGTGTGAGGGTGACTCTTGGAGCACCCACCCCGTGGGAGCATTTCAGGGCTTTCTTCTGGGGACTGCTTGGTACAAAACACACATTTGTCCACATTGGGAAGTATCAAAGAATTCCAGAATCCCAGCACTGACTTGTTGAATCTGTAAAGAGCTTTTACCTTTTTCTCTCTCTGTTGGTGCTTCATTTTGGGGGTTTCCCCACCCTGACCGAAGAGGTGAGGAACTGAACTTCTCCAAGCAGAGAAGGAAAGTGTGCTCACTTCTCCCAAGTTCTGGCTTAAGAACACTAATCCCTGGGCTAAAAAGCAGGTGCACTCCTGGGGATGGGAGGAAACTCTGCAAACCTTCTATCTTTTTAGAAAAAGGCCTGAGCTGTGTTCAGTGCTCCAAGAGGAAAAAGGGGAATCCAGGGATACAGAGATTTTCAGGTTGGAATCATAAAGCCATAGAATGGTGTGAACTGGAAGGGACCTTAAAAATCATTTCCTAAAGATCCCCTCCCAGCCATGGGCAGGGACAC